GTTAAGCAGCGCCATCAGAATCGGCGGCACCAGCGGGAGGTACGTCGCCCTGTACTTCTCTATCGCCGACAGCATGTCGTGGATCTCGAACTTCGAGAGCACCACGATCGTCGATCCCGACGAGAGAAGCCCCATCGCGAAGGCCGCCAAGCCGTAGATGTGGAACATCGGGACTGTGCAGATGAAGGTCTGCTCTCCTTCATCGGCGCCGAAACGGCCGAGAATTGTCTGAACCATGGCGATCAGATTCCGGTGAGAGGAAACCACTCCTTTGCTCTCTCCGGTCGTGCCGGAGGAGTAAAGCAAAGTGGCCGTGTCGTCCTGGTCGACTCGGTACCCGACTCGCTTCGCGCTCGGCTCCTTTTTCATCATTTCCCCCAAAGAGAAGACTATTCTGAGGTTTTTATTCGACAAGCTCTGTTTTCCGACGTCGTCGTCGATGAGGACGAGTGGGAGATTTGACCCGACGATTTTGGGGATGAGTTGGAGAGTGGTGAAGGCGAGGACGGGTTTGGAATCGGCGATTTGCTTGGCGATTTCTCGGGAGGTGTTGAGGGGGTTGGTGGTGGTTATGACGGCGCCGAGGGACATCACGGCGAGGCAGACAACGGGGAAGACGATGGAGTTTGGTGAGAGGAGGAGGATGACGTCACCCTTTCGGATCCCCATGTCAGTGGAGAGACACGTGGCGACGGAATAGACGGCTCTCCAGAGCTGGGGGAAAGTGAGGTGGCGGCCGGTGGCGGCGTCAACGAAAGCAATCTTGCCATTGTGGGCCCGGGAGGATATGAATGTGGCGATGTCCACGGATTGGTTCTGTGGGAGCGCAACCGGCGTGCGTTTGCTGTAGAAGATGGAATTGGATTTGCAGAAACCGCTTCTCTTGTCGACCGTTGGGTTGCTAATTTTCTCCATGGAAATGGAATAATAGTTCTTCTGCTTCTCTCTTTCTTGTTGTCCGATTTTCTGAGTTCTGATTTCTAATGAGTGAAATGAACAGTTTGAAGAACTTTTAATACTAGTTAATGTCGGATACTTTGACCTGTGGACTGGGAACTTTGAACTTGGATTGGCTGCTTTGGGGGCTCTAGTTTCACGTTTACACGGTCTCAGCAGTCCACCGGCCAATTACAATTTGACAAGAGGTTTTTTTCTATTAAAAAAATATGATAGTACACTTT